ACCCAGACTCAGCTTATTCCAGTATCACACACAATGACAAGTATTAGATTTTGACTGATTGGATGAACTAATATAGATGAGTAAGCCTAGGCCTGGAGCAAATAAGTGATACATATGTAGCTGATATCTAAAGAAGAGTCAACTTCTATGTTAAAGCAGAGTTTCATTTCATTGCCTAGAGAAATGATCTCCCATCAAAATGATAGATTTCTAGTATTTCACAAAACCAGACATAATTCTACATGCCATATCATTCCTTTGAGACTAGTGCACATGAAATAACTGAGGTACAGAGAGGCTACAAACGTAATACGATCTTTGAAACACTTCACAAAGGGTGACTATGATGTTTTTTTTTTCCAATTACTCTTTAAATTGGCTATCATTTCTCCTTCCCGCCATCCTTCATTGTTTCAAAGCTCTTCCTCTCTACCTGGTTACAGGCTTGTTCAACATTGGAGATGCTTTAGAATATATTCATGTATAAAAGAGTCTGTAACTTATGGAAAGATTAATACTACAAGATTTTTCTCATTTATGGAACCTTAATTTAAAAGTGGGGGGGGGAGAAGAAAGGAAGGAAAGAAGGAAGGAGGAAGGAAGGAAGGAAAGAAGTAAGAGGAATCTAGAAAGGGAATCATGAGAAGAGAGGAAAAAATCTTAAGGGACATAGGGCAGGTAACACAGACAGTAATAGAACACATGTAGTAGGAAAACAGAAAGAGAAACTAATTCGGTTGAAAATGAAGCAGTTGGGTTGGCAGGAGAGAATCATGGGAGAACATAGTGGAAAGGGGGAGTGATTGAAATGTAATTATAAATGAATGTAATATAGTGAAACCCATTTTAAAAGTCTATAATTTTGATGCATTAAAGAACAGGAACGGGAAAGCATCCAGACACTAGTTTGGGCAATCTTCTTCCATTACACAATGCTTACTAAAGAACAAAGTATTGCTGAAAATCATAGGTGTATAATCTTAATTTTTTCTTGACATAGTAAACCAGAAACAACTGATGTTCCTGTATCTCCCACAAGATATGTCCCTATTTCAGAAAGCTTGTGGGGCAAAAGTAGCTTTGGAATTTAGACCTAGAGCATTTCATGTTTCCAAGAACAACTGTGTGGGAGGACTGGATTGGGGGGGGGCAGCTACAAGAACTTACAAAGAGAATAGGGTAAACAAGTTGTGTGGAAAGCAAACCAAAGAAGCAAGACAGCTCATCTATTAAATATGTGCTCTTTTGCCCAAGCCTTGCATCCTTCCAAGGTTTTGACAAATTATTAGAAGGTGCCAGGTATGTCCCAAAGGCGGTCGTTGACGAGAGTATTTTCAAGCCACTTCAAGAGCCAACTTTGGAAAATTCATACAATATTTTGCAAAACTGACATAGATAGTATCATACTGCCTTGTAGATATGTTAAGACAAACACCAATGGCAGCCTTGATCAGGAAAGCCTCTCCTACTAAGTGGTGGGGAATGGAGAAACTCATTACTACTATGACACTAAGTGGCAGATGAATAAGTGCTCAGCTCTAAACAAGACATCTATATCATTCCCTCTGAGGCTCAGGGAACACAGGGGAAGTGGGGAAGGACTAGAAAAGTCAGAAGGTGGGGAGAAGAGCTGTAAAATGTCATCTACTTGGTAAGAACCAGCCAGCACGAACTCATAACAGCTATTGATGCATGCACTAGGTCTGCAAAAGGATGAGCCTGTCAACTGTCAGGTATGGACAAAGAAGGGACTCTGGATCCCTATCATTCACCTCTTAACTGTTTGCTACCACCAGCTTCAGGGAATGGAGAGTTCATTGCCTTCAGCTGTGTATTCACTGATGATCAGGCTCCATTGAACATTGTAACATAGACAGCCCCCAGTGAAACTAAATGTGCCACAAAACAAAACCCATAGTTGTGAACATAGGAAAGACAGTGGTGGGGCTATAGGAGAAGAAGGGATTATAAAGATGATGGGGGAAATATAAGAGAGCACGTGGAAGAGAGAATAATCAAAATTCAACATATACATGCATGACATTGTCAAACAACCAAAAGAATCATAAAACATTTTTACGAAATAGTGTCAAGCCAACTGTAGATCGTTAGAGTTTTTTTGTTTTCTGTATTTTTATTCATTCATTCATTCATTCATTCATTCATTTACATTTTATAGCTTTTGATCAAGGTCTTCCTATAAAGCCCAGGCTAACATCAAACTTACTGTATATCCCAGGCTGGCCTTGAACTCACAGTGAAGCCTCCACCTGAGCCTCCCACTTGGCTATGAATCTTGAACTTTACTTAGTATTCCAAGCTTAACCACTGTAAATGAGAATGCTCTGGGGCATGGTATACCATGCTTTCAGAGATTGCATTAGCATAGTACAAATATCAACCTATTATAGAAGTGAGTTCCTCAGCATCAGCTACTATGCATACTGGTTCTTTATGGAGGGAACTCAGAAGCAGCTAAATCATTTCGGAACAAAAGCCTCTTGACCTTGCTTCTCTTTATGAGTCAGATCCTTAGGAACCCGGAGTAACATAAACTAATGGCCCTCAACTGTCAAATACCACCGTAGGAGCTTTTGTTTGTTTTGCTTTATTTTAATGAAACATTGGAAACACCCTTGGGGAAACTCATTATGATATGCAAATACATTAAGGATTATCTTGTCACACACAGGAAGCCTTTATTCTTCTGGGGTCTCTCAGACTAGACCTTCGTGCTTCCCAAGCATGAAGAAACCTTCATACAGCATCGTTTTCTGAAGATACAGATACGAACAGAACGTTGGGTCACCTCCTTCTTCAGAGCAGGTGGCATTTTCTGTGACGACATGCGTCAGTCTGACTCTTCCCTCCGATCTGTACCTTCTGAAGTTGTCAGTGGGAGTGAATTTTCAGCTGAAAATTCAGAACACGAGGCAGTTCTCTCCGTAACTGCCACATCATTTTTGCCTGCAGAGTGAGGCTCCATCAATGACGCACATTTTTTTTTTTAATTCGGAAAATTCCCCCACCTCCACACTTTCACAAATTTTCTGCCTGAATGATTTCTAGTCAGAGGGCCATATACATAGTTTCTTTCTCCTTTTTTGTAGGATAGTTTGTTTATCTCTGCCAACCCTACATGCTGCCTTTTTTCAAGTCATATCCTAACCGAAAAAGATTACACTCTTAAACGTATTCCTGCTAGCTTTATAATGAAAATAAGAGCTAAAAAGGCAACTGAGTGAGGACCACGCACAGTTTTTTCTCTATTATATAGAAATTTCAAATGTTGAATGAATAATTTATTAAGCAAGTTGCAGCAGTAATATTTCAGGAATCTGCCTTTAATAAGAATCCAAATGCCATCATCATCGCAAACATTAAGATTTCAAAATATCCTTTGGATCTGAGTATCTTTAAGAAAAAGCGAGTTATGCTCTCCTCCGCGCAATCCATTTACACGTCTTCCCCCTCCTCCCTGGGCTCCCAGACTTCTAAACCCGCAATCGCCTACAATTAAAAGCTTTATTACTTAAACTTGCCTTTAAAGCCAGCGAGCTATGGTGTGTGTGTGTGTGTGTGTGTGTGTGTGTGTGTGTGTGTGTGTGTGTGTGTGTGTTTGAGAGCGGGTCGTTGTGCATTGTTTTTCAGATCCAGTTTTAAACGTTTTGTTTTTTCCCCCTAAAAGAAAAGGATTTTCCAACGCCCAAGAGGCCATCAAGTTTTAAGATTGCAAGGCACGACTTCTAATCGCATCCTCCGCGGAAAAGTACAAACAGTTCCTCAGACGAGGTGCCCCACCTCCCACGCGCTCCCCAGCTCTCCCTCCCTGCCTAGAACCCCGACACCCTCCCCAACACCTGTGAATCATCCAGAGGCTGCACCACTGAACTATTTGCATACCGCCGCCCGCCCTCCACGGCTCCTGACAGCTCCTGACGCACAGCATGCAAATACAGGATTATGCTGTGTGGTGTTTACTTCTAATCTTTTATCTGACCAGCAGAAGTAGACATTCTTGCTCATACCCGGCCCTGGGCTTCCGAGGGTTGACTACTGCAAGCCGGGCTCCCGTACTGAGTGACCCTCCCGAATTCTGTCTGGTCCTAGCCAGCTTGCCTCCGGATATTTGGACAGGCATGCACCGTCCTCTGGAGATGTTCTAAGAAACCCGAACACCACCATAGGCCCCGACTGCAAATTCAACCGGAAACAGCGTCAGCTATTAGCCCTGGGCAAACAACTCCTAAGTCAAAGCCCTGAGCCCTGCATACCCAAGCGTCCTTCTCCTTTCTCCCAACTCAAGTGCTATCTAGGCGATAATTGCTCTGACGTACTTTAAAAGAAAGTGTGAGCTTTTTCCTAACTGCCCTCGATTGAGAACTCCAAGCCTGCAATGCTACTTTAATACAATAATCACTCATAAAAATAGCAACCCCAGTAACCTGGCCACATGAGGAGCTGGTGACGGCAGAGCGGAATGCCTCTGTGGACCGACCCTCCTCTCTGAAGAAAATAGATCGCAACAGAAATCTATCCCAACCACTTACATCACCAAACCCTCTACTCCTTTGCCTTCCTCCCTGTGACTCAGCCAAAGACAAGTCAGCAAGGGAACGTTTTACATGTAATATGTGTGTATTTACATTATGATTGTATATATTTACACACCACACACGAAAATACACATATTCACTTAAGCATACACACATAAGCAAAGGCATAAGCCATCAGGAAAACAGTCGCAAGAGATATGTGTTTTCCCAAGATGGTGCTAAAATGGAGACAAAAAAAAATCGTTCCATTTGGTTGTTTATAAAAGATTGAAATAAAAAAGGTTGCTGCAAAGCGCTGGGGGTGGGGGCTGAGTCAAGCGCTCCGCACGGCCCGGCTCCTCCCCTACAGTCCCCAGCCACCTTCCTCCCTTCGCCCTCCCCAACACACTTCCTCCCGCCCCTCGAGGAGCGGGCTATTAAAAGCTGCTGACGTCAAAGGAACGGCCATCTTTGATGAGGGCAGAGCTCACGTTGCATTGAAGACGAAACCTCGGGGAGGTCAGAAGCTGTCTTTCCTTCCCTCCCTGCCTGGCGGCTCCTCCACTCTTGCAACCTGCAGGGATCAGCGGACAGCATCCTCTGGAGAAGCCAAGGTAAAGACCCCCCCTCCCAGATCGAGGTCCTGGCCTTGAAAGGCTCCATACACAGGAGGGACCGCAGCTGGCAGACCAAGTGAGCCCCGGCAAACACAAACGTTGGTGCTCTTGGGGTGCGGTATTCCCTGTGTGCACGTCTGCCTAGACTCTCGCCTGGGGCTACATAAAAGTATTTTCTAGGCGAGCCGTTTGGAGAAGGAGTGAATGGGGACACTGTAGATGGAGCGGTGGAAGAAACAGCGAGGATATGTGCAGAATAATAACTTACTCTTTTGAAGCAGCAGTGGGACCCTCTTCCATCTTGCGATGCAGTTTTGGGATATGTTTAGGTTATTAGGGTTGTGGCTTTTTTCCCTTTCTGTAGACTAAATTTCAAAATCAAAAGACGTTTTTGTCGTTTGTTCCAACCCTATGACTATGACTGTTGTCTTTAGGGCACTGCTACCCACGGGAGATAAGAAGGCAGGGTGTGGGCGCTGGGGAGGTGAAAGGAGAAGGGGCAGTTCTCGCCCTGGGAAAACCGAGCTGCGGCAGTGACAGCAGCCTCCATGCCCCGCAGACTTGATTTATGCCGCCTGTCCCACGTCAGCTACAGGCGGGCGGGTTCTGTTGTGAGGGAGAGCTCTGCGGAGGGCTGGCCCGGTGGGTTCAGCTGGGGGACTGCGGGGGCCGGAGCTCAGCACCCTGGACAGGAGCCCGCGTCGGCGCCCTGACCTTTCAGCACCGCGGACAGCGATCCGGCTGCAGCGCCGCATTACCTGCGGCAGAGATGCCTGGGCAGGGCTGGAGGCCAAATTTTCTGAGACCGGAGTCCTACGGAAACTCTTAACAGAGGTGGCATAGTAGACAAAAAGAAAGATAGAAGAATAAATCCTGTCAACAGGGATTTATTTACAGACAATTGCCTGCTCCTCTCCTCACCTCCCACGTAGCTTCAAGAAATAATGACTAATTGTAGAAGCCTTCTGTATTTCTCCCTGTGCCTTGCTTTAGACGGAAAATAAACACACTTTTAAGAGCAGTCACTTATCCTCCATTACAACATGAAAACTGTAATTTTTTTGTTTTTAACACGAGGTCAATATATCTGTTGATTTTAGGTGGGCTTGAATGAGCACATATGAAGATGCTAGTTCTATCTATTTATAGGAGTTCCCTCCGTAATGGTTTTGATTTTTAAAATGAGGGTTATCCGAACTAGGTAGAATCAATTTTAGGAAGGAACCCCTCTTCCTTCTCCATTTATCCTTAAAGCTAGGTAGAAACATGCATACACAGCCAAAAAGAAATATCAATCTCTTTGGCCATGATTTTGGAGTTAGTGTATGTCCTATAAACACCGGTTATGGCAGCTTGGTTGCTTTGGATTTTGACATTAAGAATGGTCATCCTTGGGAGATCCTAAACATGTCCTTCAGTGTTATGCAGGTGGAAGAACCGCGGTGCTAAAGCAGGAATCTGATCCCAAGATTCACTGCAATTTCTATTCCAGCACTGCAGGATTTTGCTGAGGTCATGATAACTATTTTCTTCTCTGAGACTTGGAGACAAAAATCATCACAAGAATAAATATCTGGATTTTTAAAAGATTTTTATAATTGTCATGAAAATATTATGACTAAATGATATGCTTTCAGCAGTTGGTAAACAAGAGTAACAGCTTTATATGTAAAGCCGTATATAATACATTAAGAAAATGCTAGCCTGAACCTTTTTAAATATCGTGAATTGTATTTATTTAGTCGTAACTCCAATCACATGTCTACTAAAGATACTAAAATGACCAGTCTATGAAAAAGAGTTATTTTATCCCCAGCTATTTACTTGTGGATTGTCTTTCTTTTCATGAAAAGCTGTGTGTTTCCATGTATGTATATTTGCTGCTATATTATTGTGTGTAGATGATAATTGCTTCAGTAGAAATTTATTCAAGATTATGTAGCTGCGAGGGAGTTTTTTTAAAAAAACTAAAATTTTAAGATATAATGAACAACTATGTTTCATTGATAGAAGCTCAGGGAGAAAATCTGGGCAGGATTCTATGTAAATGCTTTAACATGATAGTGCACATCCAGACCGTTCTGCAGAGTTGCGTCAAATGAAAGCCTAATGGCATCTGAATCATGTGCTTGAATGTTAGTAATTGCTGCTGGGTTTGATAGTGGAAGATGAAGGAAAGGACTACAGGACTGCAGTGAAGCTGGCAAAGGGTGAATAGCTGGGAGAAAGAGACAACATGAACAATTATATAGCTAAATATAGAACAATTTGCTGAGAAAATAAAGGAAAATGTATCTGGGACATGGATTTAACATTTATGTCACTGACAATCTTCAGTGGGAAAAATAATAACTCTTTTTTTCTTCATTTTAAGTTTGAATTTTGAAAATCCAGGACCATATGATAAAAGATCAGTAAGGTGTAAGGACCATCCAGGAAACATTCATGTAGAGTCTGTGATGGTGCCTGTTTGTTTATTATTGCTTTCCGCACTTTGGCATTCCTAGCACAAAATAATTCACAATTTCTATAAATTATTCATGGTAAAAATCTTCCAATAATTGAGGAACTTACTTTTACTTTATAAAACATTCACAGCTCCAAGGAAAGCTGACCCTTAATTTGTCAGTTGATATTCCTAAAGTCTGAAGTTAACCCCATGGTAAAGGTTATCAGCTGAACAATTGATTTTTTTCTTCCAGTAACACCTAGCTACTGCATAGCATTTGGCCCTCAGGAGAATGTGTTCGCTTTGACCATTGTAGGAATGAAAACAATTTAATCAAAAGATTGAAGGAGGAAACAGAAGAAATTTATGAGTTTTAAATGATGCATTATCAATAAACAATGCTCCTTACATTATCATTTTGATTTACAGTGCTAGAAAGATAGGAAAATGTATACGTTTGGCCTCAGCACTGAATACATTTTGCAATGTCATCCCTTGCCAGCAGACACCAACGTAATAGGAAAATATTGATCAACCAGAAAGCACCAGATCCATAAATGAACCCAATAGGGAATCTAAAATTTTATAGTTCTATGGCTTTTGACCTCAGTAAGTCTAGCATTTAATAATCTTGACAGAAATAATAATAAAACTTATCATATAAATCCAGAATGAAAAAAGCACTAAAACAGCAGGAAAAAATTATGAGTGTAAGTAATTCATTTCTAAGTAAGTGTGACCAATAGTAAGGAGTAGAGTTTCCAAGGAGGACAAAATGGAAGTTATAGGACCTGAGCTGGCTTGGGAAGGTTGGAAAGAAATTAGAACGGCCTGCTAAGTAAACAACTTCAAGTTACATAAGCCAAGCTATCTTTGTTCAAGGAACCCTGCAAATGCCTGTCCGTTTTGGAGGTTGTTGAAAGCTTGTGTGGAAGAATTTTCCAGAACAGAATTAGAACCCCCTATGCAAGGCTTTGAATGACAAGTTTAGGATTAGATATTATGCTCTGAAGTTGATTTCTGAGCAGAAATTGATATAACTAAGAAAGCAACCAGTTCTGGCTAACATCCAGAAATTGGCAGAATGGCTTAATCCCCAGTAGTAAAAGGAAACATGTTAGAATCATCAAGGGTGATTCACTTAAAAAAAAAAAAATCTGCATTTAAACATCATTTACCGGTACTCTCCAGGATATGTATACCCATACACGAATTGTAGTTTCAGTTTCCCATCTTTAACTGGAACAAATTATTTGAGATGAGCACATGCTAGAGACATTAAAAAGCAGGTCAGAAAATGGGTGATCAGGGGCCCTAGAATGCACATTTGAATAATAAACATGGTGTAGAACTCTCCTCCCCCCCCCCCCCGAGAATACTGCATTGGCAAAGGGAGGGGTCAGTTCTTCACAATGTGTTTCATGCTGCATAACAAATAGAGGCATTGCCCAAAACCGGGGGCCAGGGGCTGTGGCAACATTTTATGAAGCTGCGAAGAGCTGAGGTGGATGACCAAATACATTTCTTTTCCAGCTAAACTGGCCGATTCCTGCTGGTTCCCTACATCCCAGAGCTAGGCTGAAGTCTAAACTACTCATATTTCCTTTTTAACCTCGTAGTTACCACTCTCATGATAGAACTTGCAAATTCCAAATACTGACAGAAATACTAAACCAAAATAGCCAACAGCATCATCACCACAGAGGAAGAAATGGTAGCTATAAGCATAGATTTTGTTAATTCCCTTCTGACTATGAAACACAATATGCTCTCCCTCTTTTGCTATTTACCCAAACACTGGCAGGAGAAATGTAATGTGGTAATGACCTCCCAGCTCACTGCCTAGGTGAAATTGGGGGTAATTGAAATGGGGGGAAGGGGGGAACAGAGAGAACAGTGCCATTTAAGCTTTAGGAGGAGGTTGTCAAGTTGGGTCCAGGGGGCCTTTTTCAGGTAAGAGGAAAAAAGATAAATCACAGTGTCAAGGAAGCAGGACACAGTGAGTGGAGAAACTGCTTCAAAGAAATTAGTCTTATGAAAGTAAAGAGACTTCAGAATTGCTATTGTTGTTATGACAACAATATCTGTGTCTTCTACATACTTATCTTCACCAAAATCTTTGTACTTCTCCCCATGAAAAAGTTCAAGTGGATTCTGATTTTAAATGAAGTATGGGAACTATAGATTTGTCAGATATAATACTAAGCATTTGGTAAGTCATGAATTTGATTTAAAAGGCTAGAGGTACCTAAGGCAGTGACTAATCCAAAATACTTCAGTGGGGGCGGGGGAGGTGGCCTGAGCTACCTCTGCTGCTGTTCACCAAGTGCTGGTAACGACTTTATAGCTAAGTTGCTCTTGTCATTTCAGTTTTACAGATGCAGTGGCTGAGGTAGAGCCAGACAAGCTAAATGATGTATCAGAGAGCAGAAAAGGAATAAATGTAGTCAGTTTGCCTACAGAGACCAGATTATTAGCTAAATGATGTATCAGAGAGCAGAAAAGGAATAAATGTAGTCAGTTTGCCTACAGAGACCAGATTATTAGC